GAGAGAGAGAGAGAGAGAGAGAGAAAGAAATGGAGGGGAAGGAGTAGAGGGAAATGGGGACAAAAAGAGTGCGAGAGGGGGGGAGAGGGGAGGGAGGGAAGTGGGGAAAGATGGAGGGATGGAGGTGTCACCAGAGAGGAAGAGAGAGAGAGAGAGAAAAGAGAGAAAGAGAGGATTGGGGGGTTGGGGGGGAGGTGAGAGAGGGAGGAAGGGATGAATGCAGAAGGGATGGAGGCAGGAGATTGAGAGAAGGTCCCGATTCTCAGGGCGAACGACAATAATACTCATTACATCTGACGCAGCGCCTTTCACTGCCGGAGGAAATCTCAAAGCGCTTCACCGCATTCACTGCCAACTACAGCGCGTGCGTTTTGTGGGCGAATGGGGCAGCCATTTCGCAACGTCCCATTTTATTTGGGGTTGGGGGGGGGGGTTGGGGGGGGATCGTTGGCCAAGAGAGAGAGAGAGAGAGAGAGAAACTCCCTTCTCTTTTCCAACGGCATCGCAGCGATGATAATGACGACGACGGCCCTGGCATTCGACACAGCGCCTGATCACGTCTTCGAGACGCCTCAAAGCGCTTCGCAGGATACGCCGTGAAGTGGAGTGACTGTGTGTTTTGTGGGCGAAAGGCGGCAGCCGATTGCGCACGGCGGCGTCCCCCCCCCCCCCCCCCACCACCACCCCGCAAACAGCCGTGGATTGAGCGACCGAATTACTATTATTACTATTATTTTTTTTCTTCTTCGAAGGGATTACTGCCCCTCGGAAAGCGATCGGCCAATCGCCTGACAACCGGGTTCCTACTTACTGTTGGGTTCAGAGGCGCGCGTGACCGCATGTGTGTGTGTGTGTGTGCGTGTGCGTGTGCGTGTGTGCGTGGGGGTTGGGTGGGTTGGGGGGGGGGTTTCGCCCTGTCCTGCCCGGGAATCGAACCCGGGGTCCTCTCGCTTGCGAGGCGAGCGCACTAACGCTGTTAGCATCCACCTGGAATATACAGTATATATATATATATCGAATGGCAGACACCCATGGGAAGAGGTGGGGGGGTTCAGGGAGGTGGGTGCGGAGGGGGGGTGTAGGGGTGGGGGGGGTCGTAGGAAGGAGAAGGAGGGGAGCAATTTGCTGTAAACTACCTTTCAATAAAGTCAGACACTGACAGTATCGGAGCTGTATATAAACTAATGAGTCCAGTCAGACTGACTCGCCAACAACTAGACAATCTGCTTCTTGTTTCTCTTCTGCAAGTAGTAATCTTTCTCAAATACAATATAGTACATGACATATCCTCTGTACAATATATACACGGGGTCCGCGGTGCGCTTTTTAGATTAAAAAAAAAAACTCGCACCGAACAGGAGAGGTGACGCGGAGAGTTGGGGGACTTGTCGTTGTTCGGTTAAAAAGGTATTGCCTGCGTGCGTTCGTCTTTTTTTTTTTTTCTTTTACCCCCCCACCCCGCCCCGCCCCGCCCCGCGCGCCCCACGTCTCACTCCCTCCCTCCTCTCCCCGTTACCGGAAGGAGGAAACCGAGATAGAGAGAGAGAGAGAGACAGACACACGTTAGAAACGCTTTTAAAAGAATCTTGGGGAGGGGGAGGGCGAGATTAAATTATATTCAGTCGTGTGTGTGTGCGTGTGGGGGGCGGGGGGTGGGGGGGGTGGGTTTGCGGGGAGCGGAGGTGTAAGTGGGGTCCTTTTCTTTTTTTTTTTTTGCTTTCCCTTCGTTTCTTTCGATTTAGTGATCGGTTCGTTCTCGTCTCTACCGAAGAAAAAAAGAATGAATCCGAAGGGGGAGTAGCTCTGCCGCCGAGGGTCCGGAAGGACGGGAGGGGTGGGGAGAAGTGCGTCGGGTGGGCGGGGGGAGGGATGGGCTGGGGTTTAAAGGGGGGGGGAGCGTGGGGGGGGGGGGGCGG